CATAATCTGATATCTCAAAAATCTTAACTTTTAATGATCCATGATATTTCATACGATATCTTTTAATTTTATTATAATAACAATTTAAATAATAATGAACCTGATAATTAATTTCTTGTTTACATTTTTCATATAAAATGTAATCATAATTCTTATATTTTTTTCGTCTTTCATCCAAATATAAAGTGGCGATAAGAAAAAACAAGAGAGAAGAAATACCGAAAGCTAAAATAGTAATATAAATTTCTTCTAACATATTTATTTATTCATGTAGTAAATTATTGATTTGTTTAAGTTGGGATCGATTAAAGTATTCTTTTGGTTGAATTTCACTACCGAATAAAAAAAAAAATTTAAAATAAAAAAAGAACGAGGAGGAAAAAAATACATCAAATTTATAATGTTTGCTAATTACAATCTCAAATGAGAAGTCAAATTTGAGATGTGATTGTGTCCGATACTAAAAGAGCATTAGGAGTTGATTGACGATTTACATTCCAAATTTATTAAAAAACAAAGTTTAAAATGTAAAATTCAGAAGTTACACCCGAATTGTACGCTTATACCCCTGTTGTGTAACTTTAAGACTGTTCATAAATTTAAAAATTTTCCCACCATTTTTAATCATCATTATTTTATCCCTTCAATGGTTTTGAGCCAAATTTACTCGAGATTTATTTGAATCATTGCCATTGAGGGGATATATCATTTTATTTTGACATAAAGGCTTAATTAATTTACCAATACTATTTACACGAACAAATAATCATGACAACAAATTTCCAAATCATTAATATGTACTTTCTTAAAATAATAACAAAGTGAGTGTCAAATCTTCATATGAAAATTTTTAAACTGAACTGATTCTTACGAAAATTTTCTTTAAACAGATTGATATATTATATAAAATATGGACCATCAAAAGTTAAGATTTTTAGGACATCAGATTATGATCTGAATAAGGATGAACGAAAAGAAAAATATGAAAATTATTATATATTATGTGAAAAATGTATCCAAGAAATTAATAAACGAGATTATAAATGTAAAGATTGTTATAATAAGGAAACTGATCCTAATGAAAAAATTCGTATGCGACTTGGAAGTTGTAAAGAATGTCATCAAGTAAATAAATATTCTGTTGGATGTTTATCTTGCATTGTTAAGCATTTTAAAAAAGATTTTGATAAATGGACTAGCGGTAATGAAGCTATTGATAAACTAATATTAGAAAATCAACTCTCTTTTAATAATTACAATGATTTATTAGAATGGATTCCGTATAATAAATTTGAAAGTATTAAATATATAGCTGAAGGAGGGTTTGCTAAAGTATATTCAGCTAAATGGATAGATGGCCGAATTAAAAGATGGAATCCATTGTCTAATAGTTGGGAAAGGAGCGGGAAAATAAAAATTGCTTTGAAAATATTAAATGATTCGGAAAATATCAGTGAAAATTTTCTAAATGAGGTACGGATGTCTAAAAAAAATCGAAATTTAAAATTTTTTTTACTTCATTATTAATTACTATTTGTTTTTTTTTTACAGATAAAAGTTCTTATTAAAGCCAGTTATCCAGGAATAGTGAAATGTTTCGGAATTACTCAAGAACCCATATCACTTAATTATGCATTAGTATTAGAATACGTGAAAAATGATTTACGTTCATATCTATATCAAAATAATAATAATTCAATTACATGGGGACAGAAATTGAATATTATTAAACGTATTTGTTATGGACTTCATATTATTCATGATATGGAATTAATTCATAAAGACCTTCATCCAGGCAACATTTTAACCGATGTTGTTACACTTATCAGTGATTTTGGTTGTTGCATTCCAGCAAATATAACTTCATCAGATTCGTATATCTATGGAGTAATGCAATATATGGCACCAGAAATATTACGTGGAAAACAACATACATTAGCGTCTGATATATATTCTTTGGGTATCATCATAAATGAAATAATTACCATAACGCCACCATTTAATAATCAACCACATGATCATTTTCTCGCATTGGATATTTGTCAGGGTTTACGTCCAAATACTATTAGAACAGAAACAATAAAAACTTCATATTCATTAAATTTTTTAAAAGAACTAAACGAATTAATTGAAGAATGTTGGGATGCAAATCCAAAAAATCGACCCACTTCTAAAGAAATTTGCGATATTTCTTTAGATATTTTAAATAATTACACCAATCAAAAGCAAGTTGAAGAACAGAAAAATCCATCAAGTAATTTTGATGAAACCATCAATATCACTTTAAATTTATCAAATACAATTAAAACTCATTCACAACCTATTTATACAAGTAAAATTCTTGAATTACCACCATACCTACCAGAACCAACAAATTGTCCAAATCAACAAGAATTTGTATCATCAAGAATCGCACAAACTGTACAATCAGGTAAATTCATTTTTATGTACTTTTATTGTTTGTTCAGAATAATAATGTGAACATATTATTTTTGTCATAGAAAAATTTAACGACCCGCAATCTGAATGTTTAGAATGTATTATTAAAGATCGATAAATATATCTTTATATTTATGTACATCTTGTACTATTACCATTAAAGTATAATAAATTTAATTCTTATGTTTAATCATTATACAAGTTTTCCATTTATTACTGGTGATTTTTATCGATTGTAATATATAATAATTATTTATTATATATAGTTGACAAATAGGCTAAAAAAATCTGCTCAATAAAAATGAAGGTTTAGAATGACAATCTATTGTACAAAGAGTATACTGATAAAAGCTTCGCCTTCTAAATTTCAAATTTACCAGAACTATAAATTGTTCGGATTAAAAAGAGTTTGTATCTTCAAGAATAAAATAGATAAAGCTTAGTGGAATTCTTTCGTTTATTTTATTATAGAATAAGTTAATATTCTTCGTTCTAACTAATGTCAAGATCGTATGATCAACTCGAATATAACAAACTAAATCTAAAAAAGGTCATACGTAATTTTATGGTATCGTTTCCGTTACGACTGCTCCACAAGGAAAAGATGATTAAATACAAAGTCTTTAATATTTATTCTATGGAATATAGATGTGTTATACTGTTATTCAATTTATTTTATTGTTTTGATTCTATTTCGGTACTTGAAATCTATCTAATATAGTATTTTTATTTATTATAATAATTCAACATTAAAACATAGGAGATTCAAGAAAAATTCCGGATTCATTACCACACGAAAATATTCTCTGGCAGTCTGACTAATAAATTAGTATTAATCGACACTGTATATTATCGATTTCTGTACCAATTTCGGATTGGATTATTAATGATCGCCTACATACCACTTGTGAAATAATACAAATAATATAATACTTACGAAGAATACAACTCCTACAGTGCATATAACTTAGTCCCAGCAATTAAATTTGATGAAATTTAAATCACTACTATTCATTCAAAAAAAAAGATAAACATAAAGTATAAACTTACAATGATAAACCAGATTAAGCTTAATAAAACTATGTTTTTAAATTTCCTGTAAAGTATTTTTTAATAAAGTAGTAGCAATTCAAAGTTGAAATATTTTACTATTGAATTAAATATTTGGCCATTATATTCTAACCAGAATTACATATAAATCTGGCCAAAATTACTTTCGTTTGCTAAAATTATATATAATTCTGGCTAGAATTAAGAATTATGACTTAAATTAAATAAATCTGACCAATAAAATTATAGGGTTAAGTATTACATAATATAAAAAATTTGGCCGCTTAAAAATTTTTTTGTTGGGACTAGGTTGTATGCACTGTAATTAGGTGTCGTTTTAACTAGGAGAATTACCGGGCTTTAATGGTTTTAAGTCAAATATATTGACTTAATAAACAACCAAATACTAAGATCTCCAACCTTGTAAATAATGGTGCCATCCAAATGAAGATTTGGGTCAGGATTAGATAAATGGATCTCAATTTTTTAATTTTTTTACATTAGCTTTAATATAACAAATGGAATTGATGTTATTATTTACACTATTGGCAAATTAATAATATGTTGATCAGCACCAGCAAGACAACCAACAAAAAGACGTTCAAAAAATAACACAATATATCTCATAGATGCTCTAGGTGTGAGAGATTTAAACCCAAAGATACAGGGTATCAAGGTAACGCAAGAATTATTCATGTTGTTACACAAACTCGGTGGCGCAACGCTTTCATAATCTGTACAACATTGATAAAATTTTTTTTTATCTCAAACCCTCATTTTTTTATGGCATTTATGTTCAATCTCGGAAATTTAATTAAATCTTACAAGCGCTTACCTTTTTGTGGTAGCAGCTGTAGAACTTCAAATACTTACAGATTTATCTTCGAACATGGCAAAAAATTTAGCGATAATTTATCCTTTTTTAATCAGAAACGGAATTTTGTTCATCCTTCAAAACCTCATTTTATTCCTAGTACTTTAGTTTCCGAGTTGAACGAAAATTCTAATGCCAAGATTAAACCAATATCTGATCACTTAAGAAAACATGCTAAACCCATTTCAGATGAAGCATTTGGTTACTATTTGGCAGGATTAATTGAAGCTAATGGACGCATTAGTAACGATAAATTGAAGTTAACTTTTGATGAAAAAGATCACTCTTTAGCCTATTTTATTAAAAAACGTGTAGGCTATGGTAAGGTCATAAGCGATGATTCTGTTACATATCTTTTGGAACATCCACAAGGATTAAAAGCCATGCTTACTCTAACAAATGGAAAATTTCTTACCTCAAATTTTATTGATCAACTACTAAACAATGAATACGATCAAAAGTATGAAGTTTCTATTTTGCCTCCTGCCGATTTTAACATCCAACAAAACCACTTTTTAGCAGGATTCTGTGATTTAGCTGGTTATTTCAGTATTATAATTTCTGATGATACGAGTGATCTTGAAGTGAAGTTGTGCTTTTTAATTAGAACAAATCTTCCACAACAAAAAGATCCTACTATCTTTCAAAAAGTACAGTCAGAATTTGGAGGTTCAATCTATTTAGACGACGAAACAGGAATTTACCATTATGAGGCTTCTTCTTTTCAAACCAATCTCAAGACAGTAGCTTACTTTGATCAGTTTCATTTAAATTCTACCAGATTTGTGGATTACTTTAAATGGAGAAAGGCTTATCGTGTTATTCAAAGAGGTGAACATCATAATCAAAAGGGATTAGCAAAATTAACAAAACTAAAAGGATCTATGGTACATAAATATGAATCTTCAGTATAAGCAGCTTACAACATATATGTATATGTATATGTAAGTAGTAAATACAACAATACAATGTCTGTAATACTCAATTCTCTAAATGCTGAATATATAAATGTTTGAATATCATAAAATTTAATGTATAACAATTGTTCATAAAATTTCTTCCATGAATTTTCCTATAATTTATAGAAAAGAAGCTCAGGCAGCGTAGTGCGTTCAAAGGATAAACGAGAGAAAGAATAAAGCTGCGGATTTAATTTTTTACGTCGATGAATATAGCGAAGCAATTCTTTCATCATCTTGTAATAAATGTTTCTTATGTAATGTAATTTCCCACACAGATTGCTATTCTTCTTCCCAATGAGATTTCAAAATCAATATCTATCATGCTATACTGTGATCATTGCTTAATATTTATCCACGTTTGCAACATCAAATAACATCAAATCATTTAAATTAATTTTATTATAAAATGCAAATTTCAATAAACATAAAATAAACAAAAAACCTATGTAAATATAATTTACAGAAAATACATCTCTATACTATACATCTATACACTTACAATTTATGATTAATAACAAGACAACAAAGTAAAACAATATTCTTTAAAAAACCGTACCGTCGGATTTGATTGCGATTGGTGGACCACGAGTAATCGGACGTAAAGATTTTGCGATCTCTCTTCCGGCCTAAATAAATAAAAGTAATTGATCAATCATCTGCTTATATTATTGGGAAGTAAAATTTATAAAAGTAGTGGTACCTTCCAAGTCCCTGCCTCAAGAACTTGTGCTAAACTTAATTGTTCTTTATTCAGACCAAGGTTCTCTCGAATCTTTTCCGCAATTACATCGAGTAGCACAACAGTCATTGCACGCCATTCAATAACCACAGGGTCATCAACTTCAAACATTGGAACAATTTCAATATCTTTCTGGCCTGGTTTCAAAATATTATCATTATAATATTTAAGACCACGTTCTGAATCATCCGACTTAAGTGTTAACACACCAATATCAGTTAAAAGCCCACCTAAAATGATAAATTATTTAATTAAATTTTTTGCTTTAAAAAAATGTCATGAAATTACTTTATTACCATTCCGATATTCTGGCAATCCTGTTAAATGCTCAACTCCATCAAAAGTGATGGCAGATATTTTTATCATTGGTTCAATTAGTGAATAAGTGAGCCATTGTGAAAGTTTATGAAATGGAACCAGATGCTCGGTCGAATCGGTTGTTGCTCTTGATGGTTTAAGCACATCACAAGGCCATACATCTCCAAGAGACACACCATTTATCGAAGTTCTAGTTGGAGGCCAAACCTCTGCAAGCCCATCAACTACAACTGACCAAAGAGTGTCTATTTTCACTGTAATTTTTGATTGGATGGTTGTAGTTGTCGGATGTGATAAAAGATAATCTGAATTTGATCAGACAATAAAATAGCATTAGCGATCAACTATTTGTTTCAATTTATAAATTTAAAGAATATAAATACCTAGAAGATTACCAGGTCTTGTTGGCTATGTAATTAATAAATGTTTATGTCAATTTTTGCAACAAAGGTTAAACATTTAAATCTACTTCATACCGATCCATCTCTTCCTCCAAAAAACTCGGGATGACTTTTCAGCGCTTGACCAAGTCGACTGAGCAGATTAGAACGTCCTTCAAGACCTTCTAAAGGATTAGTATCATTCACTTGGAAAGCCTTGCGAACATCATCAACACTAATATTGATTAATCTGTCGGCTTACATTTCAATATGAAACAAGTTAGTCAAAGAAATTGCCCCAAGCGAATTTTAAATAAAATAAAATTTCCACCACATACCATCAACCTGATGTGGTTGAGAAATTTGACTTGAAAAGAGTCCAGCTTTGAACATATCGTAAGATGCAATCGCTAATCCTTCAGATCTATTAAAACTAGATCCAGTATCTGGTTCTTTATAAGACCAAGAATTACCAGCACCTGCATCTAATAAAACAGAGACTACAAATAAATCCAAAATTCGACGCGTAATTTCTTGTGGATCAATAATATTATTCTGCTTCCATTGATCAATTAAAATTTGTACACGTAAACGTTCACCAACATCAAAATGGCGCCAACGACCGTGAGGGGGTATTTCACCAATATCTTTATAATCACGTTCCATTAATGAAATAACAGTGGTAACGGCATTCTGTAACTTCGAAAAGTCAACATCGAAATGTTCAAGTTCATTTTTCTCCGCCTTTTCATAAACCTTTCTTGAGCGTTCACGAATAGCTTTAAGGCTCTTTAAATATTTAATTTGCTCTTGCATTTCTTGCATAGACATTTTTTGAGGAGAAAGTAAATCAAGTTAGAAAATTAACCGATCATTATTTATACGATCTTTGATTCGTGTAACGAATCTCACGCAGAAATTTTATTTTACCCACTAGGAACAGTAACAGTATCAAGTATCAACCCATGTGATTTACGGTAAATCATGTCATTATGAAAAGAATTAAGGAAGCCATGAATGGAAAAGAAAATTGTGGAGAATGTCTTTCTATAGATTTTTTATCATAAACTATAAATTATTAGAATTATTATTTTTATATTTTATTTTATTCTAGATAGTCCAAATTGGATTTAATTTTGTGTTATTTTTTTTTACTCAACATTTATCTGGTTTATTTTTTATTTTATATATATTTTTATCATTAATTTTAAATTTAAGTTTCTCTTAGCGAAAGAAAAACAAAAACCTATAATATTTTGTTTAAAAAATTAAAATTAAGAAAAACAAAGCAAATGAAAAGAAATTATTCTAATATTCACTTTTGTTGTTTATATGTCTGAATAATCCACAAAGGAACATTTAACGTTAAAATCTTGCTCAAAAATTTTACACTTGTCAGGTATGCAAAATTTCAATTACTACAATAAAAAAAACTAATTTTAGTAATTATATTAACTTGTTTATTTGTTTAAATATTAATAAATCACACAGGATGATGTTTATTTTAGCTTTTTTCAATTAATTATATCGAAAATATCGAAAAATATGTGATTATCAATCAACAGAAACGAACGAGTCAGAACATATTATAAAACAATAATCTGGAATTAAAAATAATAATTCAGCATCTATTCTTTAATAATAAGAAACATGAGAAATTTAGCATTTCTAACCTTTTAAATGGTTATTCTTTTCTTTAGATATTCCCAGTGGAAGGAATACGAACAATAATTCATGACATTATTGCTTAAAATAGATAAGCTTAATGTTGTCATGATACGAAATGTATAGCTGTCTCGGAGTTTGTCTCAGTACAACATTCTCTTATGAGAACTTGTGCTTCGCACTCTCAAGTATAACTTACTGATAACGTATTGGAATCTCAACCTCATAAAATCAGACTTTCAAGAAACTTTCATACCAATCGTTTCTTGTTTAGTTGCTGGACGTTTTACTGACTCAAGCGGATCAAGTAGCGATGATAGTGTTATAGAGGGATAAGGTAGCATTTGAGCAATGTGTTACATTGTTATAAAGATGATGATGACGATGATGGCGTTAATAGTTATTGTGATGGAAATGGAGATAGGAATGGGAAAGACATTTTAGTCAATAACGATAATATTTAATCTGGGATTACTTTTGATATTGCAGGGCAAAATCATCAATGAGCAAGTAGTAATATAGTGAAGTTTTATGTTGTTACTTTCTAGATTTCATTATATTTTTTTAGTCATTTTATTATAGTAATTTTTCATAAACAATTTTTATTTTTGATTTTATACCATCTCCGACAAGGCCAGATTCTGTTGAAATGTATTGCTCCTAGTGACATGTTCACATGAAAATCCGCTCTCATCCTTTACAGGAAATCAGATTGAAAATATTCAATAAGCCGAAAAAAAGGATTTGATGGAGGATTTTAATGATATTCACAGTGCTTAAAATCTTGTTAAGTTCGTTTAATGATTTATTATCTTCATCATCTAAATCCAAATCTAATTTAAAGCTACTACAGTGTCAAAATCAATGTTTTCGATACGCTTTCAAAGTCAAATATGTTGCAGCTTAAAATGAGAGGTAAATTTCTTCTAAGGCTAAATATCGGCGAGAGACTGATAGCGAACAAGTACCGTGAAAAAAAGATGAAAAATACTTTGAAAAGAGAGTTAAATAGAATTCAACATTAATTATATTCAACTTAACTAAAAAAAAAAAAATTATTTCTCAAACATAACAAGGATGAGAAATCTTTGTTTAGTACCTGAACTTTGATGGAGAGAGTACTTTGATATGCTTAAATTTTTCGTACCGAAGATTAATATAATCCCGTCGGTTTTTTTCACTATGGGGGATTTACAATCGTGAATGAGCAATAGTTTTTTGTTTTTGAAGAATGTTATGCAATATGAAAGTGCATAAAAGGGAATAATGGAATTTTGGAAATTGATGAAGAAAATTGTATTCCACAAGCGAGATTATATAGTTGTAACTTTTAAAAAATTACATTTTTAAAACCATAAGAATTTATACTGAAATAATAATTTGATTCCATCTTTTTCATATATTATCATTTAGTCAGATTAAACTTTTCTATGAAACTCAAAAACTCAAATCGTTTACCTCGTGTTTTTACTTTTTATTATTCTTTTATACTATCATTATACTTTACCGTTCAACTATACCTCTATACTACTTTCTTTAACCACACACAAGATAAAAAAAGAAAAATTTTCATCACATTACGCGTCAAACACTAAGGAACTTAACGTTCCTTCACATCACGTGATCTGTGTGAAATCTTTCGCATTACTAATAACTGAGAACCATGGTAATTGAAAATTTCAATGCGTACTGCCATGGAATTTTAGTTCTAGGTTAGTGGAGTTACGTAATTGCGTAAACAACACGTCCTGACTCCAGAGTCAGGAGAGTTTATCCTACTGTAAAATTAATTGGACTTTTTTGACAATGTATAATCAACAAGTTTCGGACTTAAAATTCTGATATTATTGATCTATAAATTGAATCATTATTGATAATTTTTTTCGTTCTTTTTTTTTATAGATATTCCGACTTATAATTACCTAGCGTGTTGTAGCAAACCAGACCGTGCAATAAAGTTTAATTGCAGTAAGTAAAGAGGACCTATCAAGATTAGGGTTAAGAATTGGGTATTCATTCTCCAAATTAGTAGACAAGCCCTTTTATTTATCAGAACAAGCAGACACAGCAAGTCCTTTGAGTGGATATTAAATTTATTAAATTGAGGCTTCATCAGATCTTAAATGATGCGTCTATCAGTTCGTTATATCCTAATGCTGCTCCGACCCCAGTTACCAAGGTACCAATGATGAGTGTCCAATTAATTGAACCTAAGGCGAAATGAGAGACTGGTTGAGTTCGAATAGCTTGTACAGTACAGCTTGTGCAATAGCTTGAGGTATTCAAAGAGGGATATTATTTAGGAAATATCTTCTTAGTACCATCATCAAATCGTACACTCCTTAATTCTTTTATGTTATATTGTAAGGATCACTCTTCTGTAATAACAAACCGACCTGGAGAAAATTCTAAAACTTTATAGAGATTTACAGAGGAATCGATCTTAAATTTCACATTTTACAATTTAAAATATAATTTCTTTATATTTTTTATTTTATTTCTTTAAATTCTTTATTTTTTTTCTTTTTTTTCTTATAATTCTTTATATTTTTTATTCTTTTGATTCTTTTATTTCTACTATTTATTTTAATATAATTCTAAATAATATTTTAGATAAATCATACAAGATATAGTATATTTACATGAAATAGTGCCATAATTTTTAAACTAAAAATTTTTGTACGCGTTGTAATAAAATTTTTGATTTTTAAAGATATGTATAACATGTTAGAATCTTTAAAACTGAAATGGAATCATAAATTTGTAAAACTCTTTGAATTTAGAAAAAAAAAAAGTTTACATTGTTCTTTTTAGAAAAGTGAATTCGTTTTAGAAATTTTCAATATCTTATAATTGATTCGTTATGGTAATGGAGTTTATGATTCAATATATGAATAATCATACTAGCAATTACCAAAGCCACCTTATTACAGATCAGAAGCAGCATTGCTTTTACTTTCTTCGGAACTTCTATGAATTATGATATTTTCAACCTGATGATCTGATGACACCGAAACGTTCGTTTCAAATCTTGTGTTTCCGAAGGTAAAAAACAAAGGAATAAATGTATATGGAAATGTATTTAAACAAAAAAAAGGTCAAATTACCGTAATTACTTTTCTTTGACACACGTTTTTAATTTTAAAATTTAATAACACGAACTTTTATCTTGATCTACTGTACATGTAATTTACACATTATTTATTTTTAAGTTTCAACAGTTAACACATATTCTAGATTAATCAATATTCTACGAATTCTTGTGTTTATAACTTATACTAGATCGAGAATTAGTTATAAAATTATAATAAGCAGTATATATTGCAGGTATAATAGGAGGGAATGGTGCATCTTTCGTTATATAAACACTTCTACAAAAAAAAGTAAGACGAAAAATCAGTATTCATTTTTCAATTCCAATAATATTTAAAATCATATACTTTACCTAGACATCATATTTAAAATATTTGGAATAGTAGTATATCCATAATTAATTTTTGAATCCAAAGATAAAAAAGTGAAACCAAAAAATTCAAATCCTTTAAAATAAGCAACTTTTTCATAATCTTGACTATCAAATGAACCCGTATTATTATTTTCTGTTATATTAAGATTTTTAGGACATAATTTATGAATATAACCATTCATGATTATTGTCCAAGAAATTTTCCATTTACAATATTTCATACTTTCTTGTAAAGTAAGTTTTTTCGTTAGGTTTAAAGGAGGATAAGTAGTAAATTGAATGTCAACATCAGGAGCTGACCATAAAGAAGATAATCCAAATTCAATATGACATAATGTTGTTAATACTTTATGAGTAAATTTACCATCTTTATCATAACGAAATTCTTGTACTTCATACCATCCAGCTGGGATTACGATTAATGAACGAGAAATTAATTCTGCCAATACAAAATTATTTGTATTGGTTGTATTTGAAGTTGATGTTACATTTGTAGATGAAGAATTATTATTAACATTATCTCGTTTAGAAATCTCATTACTATTAAAAATTTTTCCTTTAATAACATAATCAAATCTACTATTAAATGGAATAAGTCTTTTAAGACTTAATTCATAATTTAAAGGAATTCTAGAAATATCTTTATCATGAATTACTCCTATGTTATTTATTACAATTATTATTATAATCAAGAGAATTATTAATGAAATACAAATAATTACACAAATAGTTGGAAAACCATTATTTTTTGAAGAATCATCATCATCATATGGTGATGGTGATGGTGGTTGTGATGCAGGATATGGTGAAATTCCTTGTGAATGTAAAGAATCTGTTGAAGAATCAGGGGTAGGTGATACTAATGTTGTTTCACCATCTTCACTCTCTGGTATTGTTGTTGATTGTGATTCTCTTATGTCTGAACTGCTTGTCATATTTTTTTTTTTTTTTCCCACCAGATAATTCAATTAATTATACGATTAATTCATTGAGAAGTATTATTTTCTGTTTTTTAGTAAAGCCTTTAAATATATATGAATTACGAAAACGTGGCTTTGTTAAATTTATAACGTGGCGCGTTAAAAAGAAAACCAAACTTCATTTGCTGCGCCACATAAACATTAATCATTTAATAAACCTCATGTTATATTTAAGAGAGAATTTTAATTGGCTGAAAAACGGATTGACGAATATTTTTATTAATACATATTAAAAAATCTAAATATTCCTCTGCAAAAAATTTTCAAAATATATCCAAACTTCTCCTTTTCGCAGGAAGCGTATGCCCCCTTTTTTTAAGGAAGCGTACTTTAATAATTAATTAATCTTTTTATATTAATACAAGAAAAGTTGCTTAACATGGTATGTTCTCCTAAATTATATCATTACCCTAATTTACGCGGAAAGAAATAAGGTTATGATTATTAATTGCCTATTTGAATTTTTTTACCTAGATTTACTGATAATATTATGGGATAATATTAGAGAATAACAATATTAAGCAATGTTCCAAATTCCAATTATTGTAATTTTCAGAATTCTGTGTACGTGTGTACGTTGGGTTAATTATAATTACAGGACGATTACAGGATAACTTGTCCGGTTTTGTCCGGTAATCGTCCTGTAATCTGGCAAATTTATTTTTTAATATGGGTAGCACAATTCTGAAAACAGTGATAAGTCTTAAAAACACGATCAGCGTATTGTGAATCTCCTGTGATTATAAGATAAGTAATCATGAAATTTGGAGGAGTGAGACTTTTATTTTTAGACTACACAATATACTGTACAATCTGTACATGTACTGCAAGTACATCATGGTAATATGGTATACTTCGTGACTTTACTATTTCATGAGTATATGTATATAGACGTGATATTAATGCTTTTGCAGTTGAAATCATATGGGTGAAAACTTAGTGGTGAAATAAACATTTTACTATTATTACAATAAAACTCTTTTCTTATTTTTTTTGCACGAATCACAAGGTCACAAGTAATAAGATTCCTATGATATTTTGTCTATATTGTGAAAAATCCTTTCAATATTTGCTTCTGCATGCAATATTTTTAAAACATTTACAACGTTTTCATTTGTAATCTCGTTATAACAAATAACAAATTTATTCGGAAAATAAGGTTCTGTGCTTCAATGGATTACTTGTACAAATTTTTTAGCGGATGTTCCAAAATAAGTTACTATGATTGAATCAGCAACGCGTTAAAATTATGTCGGGTTTTCACGTAAAATCTGTGAAACGATGATAATTTAAATATAGAAATTAAGAATAAAATATGCGGGTAATAAACATAAACAATGAAAGTGGCTTATGCAGTTATGCTGTTATGCAAAATATATTTATCTAATAATAGGATTGGATCGATCCGTTCCCGGTACACAAGGGCTAGGACCGGAATGAACCGGCCTAAAAAACGGGCCGTTATTTGTGTAATTGCTGGTCCAGAGTCCGAAAAAAAAAATATCGGTCCGGTTATTCCAATACCATGAAGAAGGATTAAGAATCAAATTTTCACCGCGATATGGTTTAAATTATAGAAAGTAAAAATTTTCAAAAAAAAACCGTTTATGATTTTTTTAATTAAGAAAAAAGGCTACTGATAGTAAATAATTAATAATAATAGAATTTTTTAAATATTTGTTCCATAAAAAGTAATTTATAATATAAAATAATTATTTAGGTAAACAGAATTAAAAGATTTTTCTATATATGGAATTGAATATGAAATTTGTTTAAAAAAGTCAATTTTTTTTTTTGACCGAATATATATATTATAGAGGGCTTAAAAAAAAATTTAATATCAGATTTTATTTTAATTTTTTAATTTTTTAATTTTTACAATTTATTGGTTTATTTGGACTTACTTAATATTTACAATAATGAGATTACTTTAAATGAAATAAATTCATGTAAATAATTGTACTATTTCAGAATGAAAATGTATCAAAAACTCATTGTCATTTATTGTTATTATTTTGCTTGAATGTTTGTGTTATCTCATGACCTTTGATTGTAAATAATAAATAATAATATGGTTTAATATTTCTACATTTTGTTTAACCAATATATCACGTTTGATCTTCAAATATTATAATATTATAGGCCCGAGTTTATCATGATCTTATAATACTGTATATATATATATCTTCAATAATAAGATTTATTATTAAATTTCAAAAAGAAAAAACATATGATATGGTTTACTATATAAAATTTGTAACATTAAATAATAAATACAATTTTAACTTTCTTTTCTTTCTTTTTGATTTCAGTAATTTTATTAGATTTTGTGTATTTTGTAAAAATTATATGCAAATTATTAATGCATTGGTGTTCTTAAAATGACTTACAGTATGACCTGTCTCTTATACACATCTAGATGTGTATAAGAGACAGGAATAATATGGTTTAATATTTCTACATTTTGTTTAACCAATATATCACGTTTGATCTTCAAATATTATAATATTATAGGCCCGAGTTTATCACTGTCTCTTATACACATCTAGATGTGTATAAGAGACAGCACTTAATCACATTTTATATAACCACACTTAATCGTGCTTTCGGTTATATTATAACATATCTAACCTAATAAAAACTGGAAACATATGGTTAGAAAAAGTAATTACGCTAAATTTTTATTCATGATTGATAAAGTTCTACATTTTTTTTTAAATCGTGTATTTTAATACATATAAATTAAATATGAAATTTTGACAGGACTCACAATTTTAAATATTGAACCGTTCCAGATATTATAATTGGTGATGATTATATAGCCCTAGAACTCAAGAATCCGTAATTTTGAATTTTAATACATAATTAATAATTGAAACTAAAGAAAAAATAACCTTACATCCATTAATTACAGAATGATTAACTAATTGGTATGCAAATTTTTTTTTTTTTTTTTTTTATTAAAAGACAATCAATACAATTTAAGTCAGTATCATATAAGATCCCAGCCCATTAATGCCGCCTTAAATTGACTGCAAATTGTAAATAAACATATACGACCTCCTTATAGTTTCCAGCAAAAGTTAATTATGATAGCCACAGAATTCATTCATTAACTCGTTACGAGTATTTACCGAGAGACGCTTGAATCTTTCCTCAACATCATCCGTATCGTCATTGTTCGCAACCTTGATAAAGAATTGATTATAAGGTTGAATAATCTCTCTTGTATCGTTTCCCATTTCCGTGCCAAAAGCCGTTTGTTGATGGGTTGAATATTGATAAGGCGAGCAAATTCCAAACACTTCACCAGGATTAGTAGACAAAGATTGATTCTTTTGAATAGACTGTAGTGAATAATCACTTGATCTTTCATGGATTATAGATGATCGTAACATGTCGTTATTAATTCCTTCTTTCTTTAACAGAGAATTTATTGCCTCGTTTAATGAATCTTCATGTTTTACGACGGACATAGTAGCTTTTAGTTGCATGTGAAATTGTTTCGCTGCCATTCTATTACTAATTTTTTTTGCTTTTTTATGACTCTTTGCACGTTTAAATTTAGTGCTTTTTCTTTTTTGTAATTTTGATAATGTCCTTTCAAAAGCTTGATTTGTATCTTCATCAATCTCCATAGTCTGGTATGAAGAAGAGTAAGGATGTGATCGACGCATCTTATTACTACGAATCCTACCGGATGTTTTTTTACTTTTACCTGGAGATCTAAGGGAAGTGGGTAGGTTTGCAGCTGCATATACTGACCAGTACATTACTTCCTCTGTTCCTAATTATATAAAAGAAGATTGATTAATTAATATTTCAGAAAAATAAATATTCTAAATATTCGAATAAAAAAATGATCATGAATTCAATAAAATGATAATTACCTTCTAAAGCACGTAATACAACATATTCAGAACCAATTCTTAAACCACCAGAAGTAGTAATACGATTAACAACTTCTTTAGCCATGGGTAAGTGTAAATGAACGTATCCTATAGTTTCGTCTCTTTGATAATCAACGGTTACTTTTAAACCATTATCTTCGAAAGCTTTCTGAAAATAATGAAAAAGAAAAAGAATAAAAAAATTTTATTAATAAAGATTACAATAAAATGGAAAACTTTACTGAGTAAAAGAAAAAAAAAAAACAAAAAAGTAAATAAATAAATTAAAACATTTACCTTTATCCTACTTTGAGTTGAATTTGGGTCTAGTCCTTGTAACATTATTACTCTATTAGAAGAATCGCAAGTCGAAGATCGTTCACTATACTTTTGTGCAGCTGTACTTGATTCTCCATTCTTTGGTGGCCAACAGTCCATTTCGTTCTCTCTAATCTGAAAAATAATCAGGTAAAAGAGAAAAAAAAAAAAAAATAATTTTGTGGCAAAAGTGTGTAACGGGTAAAAAAGCGTGTTGATTGCTGATTTTATAAAATTTTTGAAGCAATTTATTTGTCATACTTATAGAAAACTTCGTCATTCTAGTTTTAGAAACTTTCTATATAATTATGCACATGGCTCGTGCGCAGTTAATATCATGTGATTAAATTCATTTTAGCGAAACCCGGCGAAACTATTTCCTTTTTTTAAAAACTTGTTGTATTTGTATGTTTAATTAATTTTCACGTGATGATTAGAATGTTGTTCTTTTTTCCGGAATTTTCAATTTCCTATCGGAAATGTCCGATCACTCCGGTGGTTTTTAACCGACAATGTAATGAAACACTACGGCGCCAATTGCATCATGCAAATCCCTTAAAATACTAACTAAGGGTTTATTCACGCATATAATTATTATTATGATTTTTATTGGGTTTAAATATTAACACGGATTAGTAAGATTCTAATTAAATTATTATTAATGAAAAAGTGATATTAAACTAGTAAACTATAATAATATAGTTAATATAGTAATTTTGTAAAACTAATCTTGTTTTGTCCATAAGCTTAATTCGCGCATAAAGTTATTATGTCAAAAATCAGTTATTACGCGTCATTTGCAGCATAAATCATGTGACTATGTGATTATAAATTGTTGTTATTAATTCAAAAAGAGTGTCCTTAAAATAGACCGGGGGTTCAGGTTCTTATCCAAAACCTCAACTGTATTAATCACGTGACGATTACTCTGAAAAAAACTTATTTATATAGGGGGTTTAGGATAAAGAACCTGGACCCCCCGGTTCAGGATAAATTTGTCCATTTAAAAATTAATATTAAATGATGTCATTTCGTTTGGATTTGGTGAATTATATCATGCCAAACCACACAAAAAAACGATGATCAAAATTCAGTGTAGATATTAAAACAATTTTATAACGTACAATTAAAATTAAACAGCTCAATTTTTTGCTAGCATTGACACAAATTAAATCATTTATTTCATTAAAAGTATTCAAATTGCAAATCAACAGGCAATTTGTCATTATATAATTAAAACGATACTCCAATTTTTTCAGTCATGTGACTTTGTAAACGTGTACTTATTTTTATATGCAGTCTTTTTTTAAAAAAACAAATTATTTGTTGTTATTAAACCAGAAATATAAATAATTTACTTCAAATTATAATAATTCCAGATCATTGAAGCCATGTCATTCTATATTTCTAAGCAATACAAGCAATATGTATTGGTTATATCCTGGGTGGTTGGGATGATCAGCCTAAAGATGATCAGCCTAACAAGGATGATCAGCCGGTTATGCTGATCATTTTTTATCCCCATAACTGGTTTATCCCTTATCATTTACTCAGTTAGGTATAAGTGTAATCAATATAATTGTAAATGGTGACGATCAGGGGAGAAATGATTTACTAATTTTCACCCTAAGTTCTGATTGGTCCACAATCACGTGCCAATTTATGCTTCACGAGATCTATATATCCAAAATCATAGGTAGCCATTCTCTTCCACGAAGGGTGATGCCCTACATGGGCAGCATACGGCTTTTTTACTTTACTCTAGGGCAAAGCGAGATTTTTTTAAATTTACTTTTCTTGAATAAAATAAAATAAATAAAATAAATTCATTATCCAAAAAGGCCAAAGCCCAATAAACATCTCCTCGTAGGAAACATTAATTAAATTTTTATCTATTCGCATTAGAAACTTATTTTATGCAAAACAATTAACGTTAATAATTGTAAGCTGTCCTATTTAAAAGCATTAAGGAAAGAAGCTCGAAACATTCAAACTGAATTTCAAACACCGTTCAAACTTATGGGAATTAAATGATACAATAAAACAATTTTAATTTATTTAGAATTTTAAAATACTAAAGATAATAGAATAAATAAAATAATTAAATATGGTATATGGTAAATTCCTTTGATATACAGTATATCAAAAAAATAAAAAAATTTCGTTGCATTCATATCAAACTTGAGTTCCGTCTATAATACAATCCGAGCATCCATCAGAATGAAGAGTATTAACTTGCCCTATAATACGTAAATTTTTTTTATTTAACTTTAATTAATTTAAATAGATAAAAGAAATCATTATAATAAAATCACCTGTCTGTATTTTCATAATATGTCTTGAAGATACAAATTCTTGATGATTTGGGCAGTTTATGGGTTCTGGTAAATTTTGAAAATTGAGAAGTCGACTTTTATAGATAGCTTGGGGATGTGATTGTAGTTCATTTGATTCATTAAGATTGTATGATAATCTTATTGGCATCTTTTTATATTCACTAAGCTTATCTGATAATAAATATAAAATTTCTTTGGAAGCCGGTCGGTCTTCTGGATTCGCATTCCAACATTTTTCAATTAATTCTTTTAAAGAATATGGAGTTTCTGCTTTAATATTTGGACGTAAACCTCGACAAATATCCAGTGCGAGATATTGATCATGTGGTTGATTATTGAATGGCGGGATTACTGTAATTATTTCATTTAGAATCACACCTAATGAATATACATCAGATGCTAAAGTATGTGGTTTTCCACGTAATATTTCAGGTGCCATGTATGACATTACTCCATAAATATTCTTATTTGTAGAATTTGATAAATTTTCGTTTGCTGGCATGCAAAATCCAAAATCTCCAATATATGCAAATGTAGAATCAATAAAAATATTTCCTGGGTGAAGGTCTTTATGAATTAACCCGTGAACATGAATATTATTAAGTGCAAGACAAATATCATATATTTTATTTAGTCTTTGATCCCATGTAATTATATTAGCAGTTCGTTTAAGATATTTTCGTAAATCACCATTCTCCATATACTGTAATACTAATGCATAATCGTAAGTAACAGGATCTTGAGTAATCCCAAAACATTTAATTACACACATATGACCACTAACTTCGTTAAAGAATTTTAACTACAAATATATAGATAATATAAGTTAATATTAATCTTATAAATTTTATATTTTTTTAAACACTTTTTCGCATACCTCATTTAGAAGATCTTCACTTATATTTTCTGAATTATTCAATACTTTTAAAGCGATTGTTGTTGATCCATTTCTTCTCCAACTATCAGACAATTGACTCCACCTTTTAATTTGTCCGTCTATCCATGTAGCCGAATATACTTTAGCAAAACCTCCTTCAGCAACATAATTAACATTTGTAAATTTATCATATGGAATCCATTCTAATATTCCATATCTCCTAGCTACAAGTTGATTATTTTGTATTAACCTATCAATAACTTCATTCCCGCTAGTCCACTTATTAAAATCTCTTTGGAAGCGTTTAGGATTACAGGATAAACAACCATTCAAATCTTCATGTATTCTAAGGCATTCTTTACATTTTCCAAATTCCATACGATTTTTTTCATTAATATCAGTTTCCATATTATAACAAACACAATAAGATCGAGCATTATGAAAACATATTTCAGGAACTTGTTTAATTCGTATTAACTCGCGTTTTATCGACATAATATATTCAATTACTATTTTAATTTGCAAATACGTTCCTTCAAAACGTTTAATTTTAGAATAGATATATTCATTATTTCGTATAATTAATTGTAATTCTTCTGAGATTTTTAATTTATTTGTTATTCTATCATATAACTTATTATAAAAATTTTCATAAATTTGTAATTCAGTCTGTAACTTCTTTAATTTTTGTTTTTTCTCGGCAACGCAATCATGACAATAATTATAGGTAAACATCTTGTTACATTTTTCGCATAAAATGTGATTGTAATCCTTGTATTTTGCTCGTCTATCATCTTCATTTAAATCATAATCTGAAATCGTCATAGTTATTGCATTACCATTTACTTTGCTTTCATTAAAATTTTTAAATTCTTTTAGAAGTTGATTTAAACTATATAAACATCCACATTCTGCATTAATTTCAGAACAGTATTTACATATTCCAAATGTCATACGCTTTCGTTCATATTTATCAGCCTTAGAATAACATTCGTCACATCTATAATTATAAAAATTATTAATTTCATAATTACATTTTTCACATTTGATAATATCATAACTCTCAAATTTTGCTTGTCTTTCTTTAACATTTAAATCATAATCTGATGTCTCAAGAATTCCAGTTTTAAATACACATTTCATACGAAATTTTTTACTATAGTTAGTTTCTTTAACAAAACAATTTTTACAATAATACTGATTGTCAATTTCTTGATTACATTTTTCACATAAAATGATTTTGAAATTTTTATATTTTGTTTTTCTTTTTTCCAAATTTAAATCATAATCTGTTATCTTAAAAATTCCAAAATTTAATCCATATTTCATATGACTTTGTTCATTGATATCAGTTTTTATATTATAACAAACTAAACAATAATAATAATGCTTAGCAATTCCTTGTTTACATTCTCCACATATGATTTGATCATAATTATCATATTTTACTTTTCTTTCTTTCAAATTTAAATCATAATCTAATGTCTTAAAAATTCCAACTTTAAATTCATAATTTATATGAATTTCATCATCATCTGTATCATAACAATATTTACAATAATAATACCTCTTATCAATTACTTGATTACATTTTTCACATAAGATGTAATCATAATCATAAAATTTTTTCCTTCTTTCTTTCAAATTTAAATCATAGTCTAATGTCTTGTAAATTCCAAAATTTAATCCATACTTCATGTGATTTTGTTTATAACATTCAGGTTCATTTTTATAGCAATCTATACAATAATAACACTCTTTGTCAAACTTTTTGTCACATTCTTCACACAAAATGTTTTTAAAATCTTTATATTTTGCTTTTCTTTTTTTCAAATTTAAATCATAATCTGATGTCTTGAAAACTCCAACTTTAAAATTGTATTTCCTATGATTTTCAGCTTCATGATTAAAACAACGTACACAATAATAATATAACTTGTCAATTTTTATATTACATTTTCCACACAAAACGACATCAAAACATTTGAATTTTACTTGTCTTTCATTCCAATTTAACAATAAATAATTATTTACTGTAAAAATTCCAAAATTTGATCCATATTTCATATGATTTTTTTCATTAATACCATGTTTTTTGTAACAAATTGTACAATAATAACAATGCTTGTAAATTTCTTGGCCACATTCTTCACATAAAATGACTCTAAAATCCTCATATTTTACTTTTCTTTCTTTCAAATTTAAATCATAATCTGATGTTTTAAAAATTCCAACTTTAAATGTATTTTGCGTACAAATTGCATCTCTGTCATAACAATGTTTACAATAATAATACCGTTTATCAATTTCTAGATTACATTCTTCACATAAGATGTAGTCATGATCATAATATTTTTTTCTTCTTTCTTTCAAATTTAAATCATAATCTAATGTCTTGAAAATTCCAAAATTTAATCCATACCTCATATGATTTCGTTTATAAATTTCGGTTTCATTTTTATAACAATTTACACAATAACAACCCTGCTTGTCAATATTTTCGTTACATTCTTCGCATAAAATATTTTTAAAACCTTTATATTTTGCTTTTCTTTTTTTCAAATTTAAATCATAATCTGATGTCTTAAAAATTCCATGTTTATTATGTTTATTAATCAAAAAAGAAAGAATGCTTCTTCCAACTAAATAATTATTAAGGATATTCTCTTCTGACATGATTATAAAAGTAATTTTGTCGGTCGGTTATGAAAAAAAAAAAAATTTGAAAAGGCAAATAACAAAACGTATTTAAATATGCAGAGAAAAAAGTATATAACAACGGGAAATTAATTTTTCGGAGTTATAACAACCAGATTTTCCAAGTAGAATTTCTATCGAGTTACTCTTTTAGAATTGTATGACCAAATTCTATAACAAGACACAAAATAAGTCTTTACCGACAAACTAACATTTAATTTGACGAAAACTTCTGTGTATTTTCCTTGGAAACATGCGATCTGCAGAATGCAGTTGTAACAAGTTCCGTAAACAGTTACGGCAAAACCGTGTGAAACCACATGTGCGCCACTTTGGCCAATGATGCCGTAGAGTATAAATAGTCTGCATAAAAATATTTAATATAAATTTTTTAAAACTCTCCGAATTTGTTATCAAAATTTAAAGTTTCCATACTGATTTTAAATAACTTCTTTGATTATAAAATTTCATGGAACAATAATTTTAATAGTAATGAAGGAGAAAAAGAAAAAATAATTAGAATGGTATATGTTTTTAAGAAAATTTAAATTTTAATAAATATTATATAGTGCCTATTTAATACAAATTTAGTTGAAAAAAATTTAAAAATATGCTAATATAGTAATATATTAAATATATTTTTAACATTGAACAAACTAATTATGATGAATTTCAGAAAACAAGTCTTTTTATTTTTATTATTACGACAAAATTTCAAATTTCGATATATAAACAAATCAAACTTTGCGCTCAATCAATATCCCTTATGAACATTCATCAAGTATTAAGTATTGAGACATTTGTAATAAAATGTATTTTCTTGATATACAGTATCTTGAAGATATAAATTCTTGTTGATTTTGGAAGTTGATGGGATTCCTTTTGGTTGAATTTTTTACATTTTCATTCGCCGACATGCAAAATCCGAAATCTCCTGCGCTAAAGGATTGTTGATTCTGCAATCAGGAATCAACTTTGCATCTTACCTTCATCCTAAATAAAAAGTTTGCATATCGCTAATAATCAATTCTTTTCTAACAAGTGATATCTATCTGTAGGCCTCCATCATTTCCACCATTATCGCTTCACCATCGCGATAACGAACTTTTTAGAATTATTCCAAAATAAAATTTTCCCGATGTAATATTTCTATTGCCAGTTTATTAAGCGAATTATTTTTAATCTTGCATTCAGCCTAACCATTTTTTTTTTATTTAGAAAAACGGAAAACCAACCCTTAGACATGAAAATATAAATAAAAGTATTTTCTATTTAACTAATTAGCGGACCATTCACGTAATAAATGTGATAATTGATGTAATTATTTTTATTTACTTGTTCTTTTAACATTATTTATTCTTTTGAAAATAATTCATAATATATTGATTAAAATAAACTACTATAAAATATAATAAATACTATTTTTAAAAATTTCTCATGAAAAAAAATTTGTATAATTTAATTATTAAATTAAATTATGTTTTACTTGTTTTACTTAAAAGGTAATAACAGCCTTTGTTTCTTATCCGATTTAGTTCCGATTTTCACAGTAAAAACAAGTAGTAAATCGATAAAATCAATAAAATCATGCGAAAAAAAGTAAAAAATTAATCGCGAGATCTATTAATAGTAAAAAAAAAATTGATTTATCAGTAAAAAAAAATGATGTAATAGTAAAAAAATATGTTTACTGCAATCGCGTAAAAAATTAACCGCAATTTAAGAAAAAATTATTCATCAGTAAAAAAATACAATATATTGATATTTGGAATCGGATCATATAACAAAAAGATGTACCGAAAGAAGTAATTTTTATCAATAAAAAAGAACAATCAAAATCATAACGCTCTTATGTTGATCACATTGTCCCTTTCTCTCATTTCCATAAAAAACAAAATTCTGGTATGTGAATGTGAGTGACTTTTGCAGTATGGCTTGGTCTGACACAAAACAATTTGTACATAAAATTGTGTAGTTACTCCTTGCACCCTCTTCTTACTCATTATATTCGTATCTTATATTCATATCATCTTACTCATTATATTCATAAATTTTTTCTTGATATTTATATAAATAGTAAACACCAAAATGGATAACATCAACTCTAATTCTACTTTCGATAAACTCACTAAGGAAGCTTTAGCTTTGTTACGAAAAATAAGAAAAAGGAACTTCCTAAAGTATTTTTCATAGATCTGGATGTTTATTGAAGAAATGACGCAGAAGAACAGAAGCGTTGCATTTGGTGTACCAGTTTCAGTTCCCACCGAACAAAGAAAGAGAATAATGAACGACCAATACCTTTTTCCTCGGGAAGCGGGGATGTTCGGGAATTGCGCGGAAACGAATGCTTGGACTACTAGACCAGATCTCCCAATCAAATCTCGAACAGTATATATTCAGAAAAAAGAAATAGCGTTGCCATGCAAGAATTGCCAAGCGTGTCAAAATTGATTGAACCAACAAAGAATAATCATGAGTACCGTGAATTTCATGAAAATAAAGATAAATGGTTAATTGATCAGAATTACTTCAATGACACATATGGTATCACCAGTATTCGTTATGGAGGATCTCTTATGTTTTAGATAACCGTGATATTCTGTTTGAATGGTGTGAAATGACACAAAGCATGTATATATTAGGAATTAACATAATGGAAGGTCTTGCAAACTTCCTCTATAGAGGTAGATGGCAAGTTGATACTTTATGAAGAACTTGAACGTCAAGCAAGAGAAGAGGCGGCGAAAATTAAGATAACAAAAGCGTAGATCAAGTTGATAACTACATCTTTATAAATATTATAAGATAATTTTTTTTCGCAGAATTAAAATACTGGGTATATGTGAAAAGTTCTTTGTACTTTGGATTTTAACCAATGTAATACAAAAGTTATTATAATCAGCACATTGTCATGCGTAAAAATAAAGTATTAGTCATGAGAAAATGCTGTAAAAATGAAAAAATGATAGAGAAGAGGGGGGGGGTTTTGAGGAGGTAATTTACCGAGCCCTAATCCATATGATGGCAGTTCTTTCCCTGCCACTCAATGTTGTCAGCCCTTTCTATAGCGAATTTTGATATAATGAATTTCACGATATAACGAATCTTAAGTGTGGTACACATTTAATCATATGAAAGCAGTATAACGTTGAATGAAGAAAAACTTATTAATTCACGTATTTGAAAAGTCGACTTGTATAAATAGCATAGGATATATTTCACCTAATAATAATAAATCGGTAATGTTGGTTGAGTTAAAAAAAACTATATACATTTAGCATTTGAAATATATTTTTAATTAATGATAAAATCGGTATATTTAAGATCTCATTATAACGAATCAAGAGAATTATGTGGTTTTTGTAGTATTCAATTAGCGTAATTTCAATTTGAATGACATAATTTATTTTAAATAATTTTTATTATATTAAGATTTTATTAAACAATAACAAATTTTTTTTATTCAAAGGGTTGCTTGTTTAATCGTTTTGTATAAGTAAAAGCTAATAGTGTTTAATGAAAATAATCACTGAAAACTTTTTTTTTTTGCATATTAATAACCAAATTTCTTCCAACGCCAACAAGCCAAAATATTAAATCTTAATAAAATCCGATTATTTAATAAAATTATTGATTTTTTTTTTATTGTTTTGTAATTGTTTTAATAATGGCTAACACGTCATATTGGAAAAGTTAAAAAAGAAGCTAAAATTAATTAGTAACGTTATACTAAAAAACAATGCAAATCATATACAGTATTTAATTCGATATTCGATACATTAATAAATTCCAATATTCACATGATTTAGAAAACTGATAATAATTTATTCAACAAACAATTCTTGCAGATGAATCACTTACAAAAGGTGAAAATTCGCTTTATTTTTGTTTGTTCTTCCATGTTGTTTGTTACCGATTTCGTTTTCTTTTTTACTTTCCACTTGTCAATACTTTGGCAGAACATTTTACAGGTGCTTATGGGACTTATAGCAAAACCTGTAAATTAAAGTTTCAAATCCAAAAATTGATTAAAAGCCAAAAATAGGTTGGAAAAATTAAGTAAAAAAGGGTTGTTTTTTATTCTTCGGAGTTTTTTCTATTTAATATTTCTTGTGACACTGTGACACATTCGTTATTATTTAGATATAAACGGAAGTTCCCCTGAAAAAATTCCTTCATTCTTGTAAATTTTTTGAGTAAACATTTTATTTACATGAACTGCATGAGAAACGCTACTGAAACTGCAATAAAAATCAGTGATTTTCCTACTCAACCACATAATGGGAAAAAAATTGATGAACTTATTGTTTCTCAGTATGTAGATGATGATCCATATGCTGTTACTTACAGCAAAGAAGATAATTCAATTCATGGATGGTTAGTTAACATTGAAGAGAACGGACAACAACGACCCGATGTGAATGTGTATTTTAAGCTTGATGCTCCTTACGATATAATTTCGCCTGTACTATATAAAAAAATTTTGGTCTTTTATTATAATAATTATTGTAAGTATTTATTTTGACAAAAATATGTTTAAACGAGATTTTTTTGTGTCTAATTTAATAATTCATATTGTAGTTTTAAAGGTTATCGATTTAAGTGGCGAAGGTCAGTTTCTTCAACTAGAATATGATTGGGGAAATTCGGTGGGATTTCTTCCTAATGATAATTTAATCGTTGTATCATCAGAAAGACACCACATTTACAGGTACTCTTTTATACATAAGCCATCATACAAAACTCTTTGGAAATGTTATCAAGCGCATGATATAAAACGTATGTGTGGAAGGGATGAATGGTTTATTTATCAAACAAAGTTATTTCATATTAATTGTAAAGGTTTCGTGGCTCAATGGAATTTATTGAAAATGACTTTTGAAATGCAATACAATTTAGTTGGTGATGTAAATAATCATTATGATCGTGGTCATTATGGTATTATGATAAACAAAAATCAAACATTATTGGCGTTATACAATAGATATAGTGGAAGTGTTGATATATATCTAATGGAAACTGGAATACATGTTTCAAGATATGGTTAGTATTACTTTTGTCATATTTATTATATATAAGTTTTTTAAGTAATCTAATTTTATTCTATTTTTAGTCGCAGAAAATTATATTCCAGTAGAGTTTGTAACTTCAAAAGATGGTTCTGAAGGACTACTTATTTTTAATGATGACTATAGGCAATACAGATTTCTAGATCCTTTTCATCCTTCTGAAGAAGTTGATATTAGTACTTGCGTTATTGAGAACCCTAAAAATATTTTAATAACTAAATCAAACAAAACATTATACATTAAAGAGAATAATGTTTGGGTCACAGATGGATTGACTTTACCTACTTTACCGGCAAATCTTGAAAATTTTGATAATGATTTCTCAAAATTTGATAAAGAGTTAATTTTAAGTATTATAAATGATACAGTGGAATTTTCAAAATATGGATCAAAAATATTACAAATGGCAATTAATGAAATTTCAAGTGTTGGAAATAGTAATGAAATGTGCAAGTACGCCATTCAATTAGTTTTTGATAAAATTATTGAATTAATTGAAACAGAAAATTACCATTATATGGCATTATTGCCTATTATTAGTTTAAAATTACCTGAATTATGTGATCATCATTATTCTAGTTTAGTAATGAAATATATCTTATTTACATCTATTTTATTAGATCCCTATTGTTTATCTGTTAAAAATTCAACAACTTCACTATATGCGTACTCAAAAATGGCTTACTTTAAAACAATGGCAGAAAGTTTAGTTTTATTATTAGTTTTATTATTTTTTGTTATATCTATACCATATATAATACTTGCTATATTTACATTATTTATATGGTTTTTATATAAAAAATTTATCTTAATTAGAGAAGAAACTCTAACAGTTAGCTTTATTGTTCCTTTTCCTCAAATTTGTAAATATCAAGACAAAGGCAAAGATTATAATCCTTGGAATGAAATGTTATGTAAACCAAAATCTATTCTTTTTTGTAATATAGATAGCAATAATTTTTATCAATGGTGGAATTTTGCTGCTATTATAGATTTTAAATGGAAAACCTTTGGAATGCTTTATTATTTTTTGATATGGTTTTTTTATACTATTTTTTTCATTTGTTTTGCATTAGCTACTACATTAGATCAAAATCTTATTTCCAATTTTAATCGTAAGATACTTTTTATACTCTCAATATTACTTGGTCTTATACATTTATCTTTTGAAATTCGACAATTTCTTTGGAAATCAAGAATTTATGTTAGAGATCCATGGAATTTATTTGGTAAGTAATTTATATAATGATTATTCTTTAAATTTTTTTTTTAAAAAAAATAATCAATATCTTTTTATTACTAATAGATTTAGGAGCATATTCTTTACCTATTATAACATCTATATATTGGCTTATTAATGAAAAGCCACCCCTTTGGATTATAGCATTTTCTAATTTATTATTAAATTTTAAATTTATGTTATTTTTTCGAGTATTTCAATCATTTGGAAAATATTTTGCCATAATAATTGGTGTTGCTAAAGAGGTTTTCCCATTCCTAATAGTTTTATTTTTAATTATAATTGGATTTGCTCATGCATTTTTCATCCTTTTAAGGTCAATTGATCCGGATCTTACTAAGTATAATTCTATTAATTCAAATGGAGTAATAAATTCCGCTTATACATTAGTCCAAATCCCTGACTCAAATACAAATATGTTTAACAAGTTTTCTACCTCACTTTTGGCGATGTATTTATTTCTTACAGGTAATTATTAATTTATCAATTACTTTAAATTAAAAATTTTATACAATTAAATTAATACTTTGATTAATAACTGAACATATTTTAGGTGATCCAGGATCCTTATCATCATGGTCCTATGTTGAACAACCCACTATGACATTATTATTCTTTTTATTTACATTTTCTACTGTAATTTATCTTATGAACTTATTTATTGGATTGCTTAATATGGCGATTGTGAATTATAACAAGCATGAAGAATTTTTACTTTTAAAAGCACAGGTATTTTATTTAAATTTTAATCATAACAATAAATATTATTTGATTTATTAACTTTTTAAAATTCTAAATTATAATTAAAGATTATTATGGAAATTGAATTATTTTACATGTCATATTCTCAAAGACGTCATGATAAATGGTTTCCAGACTGGATGTATGTATAAAAAATTTTGCTAATATCAAAATATTTTTATTAAATTATTAAAAAAATTTCTTAACTAAGAGATTTATTTAATCCATTTTAGTTACTATGATATGCCTGTTGATGAAGTTCGTAAATTAATTAATGCAATTGATGATCACAGAACTGAATTTCATTCTCTACCATTTATCAGTAAAAGATTAAGAGAATTGGTAGGAATTATAGAGCCTACGGTCAAAGATTATCATGAACTCAAACAAGCAAATAGTGAACTTAAACAAGCAAATAATGAACTCAAACAACAAATAAAAGACATACAAGAATTATTGAATAATCTTGTTAAAAATTTAAATGCTAGCAATAAATAATAATTATATGTAAGAAAAAGCTTAGATTAGTAAATGAATACTTTGAATAGTATGACGAATGGTTGATGTTTTTACTCTATGTATTTTATATTTTACATTGAATATTTTAATAAATATATAATATCAATTACAAAAGTTAAAAATGTTAGCAATATTAAATATATTAGATTAGTTATGTTTAAATAATGAATCTATTTAAGAATTGAAAGTCGCAGCATAAAAGATTAAAGTTTTGGGACGGTCCGCACATTATTATACCTATTCTATTTTATTGATTTTTAACTTAAATTGAGTGGGATCTTACATAATCATTGATTTTGCAATCGATCGTATGACAAGAAAAAAGAAATTGCAGTATAAAAATATTTTTTTCTGGTACATTGCATCATTTTGAATAGCAAAATTTCAATTTCGAGTGGGATTATTATGTGGGTTCTTTCGTAATCATTGATTTAAAAGATCATCTTTTCTTTGTCACGCACTAATAAGAAAAAAATGAATTGCAGTAATTTTGATATAAAACCAACTTTTTCTAGTACATTGATTAAGGAGTGTGATAAATAGTTACTGTAATTCTGTGATTTGGCCAGGCCAAACTTAATTTCGGCCAGCATTACGATAATAGCAAATCTTAAATCAGGCCAAAAAATTGGAAATTATCAACTTGTTCTTCAACTAATAAAATTTCAATTTCAGGACGGGTTAATCTGTAGGATTTTACGCAATCAACGTTTTAAAAAAAAATAATTTCGCGCATAGTTAATCGCCATTCATAATGATAAACTGAAATATCTTTACCATAAAATAAATCATCATAATTTTGCTCGTCTAATTCCTCTTCAATAACCTTCTTATTCTTCACCGCAAGTTCTTATAATATATTTAAGGAATCAGCGAGTTCAATAGGCCTATTTGTCTTGTACGATTTCTGAAATATTAATTTCAACCATTGCGGATGAACTGTGTTAGAAATGGTTTCGTTAAAAAAAAAATAATAAATTAAAAAAAAAACCAAATTTCACGCATATAACCAAATAATTTTTGATCTGTCTCTGTTTGGTATCGAACACTTTTCTACGCATTTAAATCTTAGTCTCTTGCTCTTTTGAGCAATTATAATTTTGATTCATCTAAATAAAAAGAAAAAACGAAATGTTTACAAAACGAAATATTAAGCAACCGTTTTGTTAAAAAAATTAAATATCAACTGAATCCACTTATAAAGGAAAAAAATACGGTGAAAAATTATATTTCTTAGTTTTTAGAGTAGGTAATCTAATAGATATAGATTAGGATTCGGATTCAGATTCCTTTCTATTTTAGATTATGTCGCCCCTCTTATAAATAAAAAAATTTTTTTTTTTGTGTATCGTAAAATCCATTTTTTTTCGTTCCCATCTTAGTTTTTGATTTTTTTTACAACTTGTCGATATTTAAACCCGCTGTAAATTGCAAAAAAAAGAAAAAAAAATTTGGGGCTTAATGAAATTTTTCTTTCATGCGATCAATACTTGTAAGTTATATGGTTCTGAAACATCAATTGAAAATGTAGAAAATATAGATCCATCATCACAAAAAAAAATATGTAATTCTTGTTTTTTATTTCCTTTGCGTTTTTATTTTATTTTCTTTTTTTACCATAACATTGCTTTCATCACTCTCAAAAATTTTTTACTTTGCTACATCTTTTATTTTGTAAAAATGAGAACCCGTCAAAGATTCAAATCAGCCTTTTTAAGCCGAGAAGTCCCTAACCCCGCCACAACGACCACGTATTTGAAGTGGAATTAAAATGATTCCAATTCTCAAAATTCTAGAGTTTCGAATGGTGTCTCATCTTTGAGACAGCCAAAAATATATAATTACATGGAAAGAATCATCGATCAAAAAAGTTCAAAGTTTAATTACCCAACTAGAAATGTAACCGATATAACTGAATAAATGGAGAATATCGGTTAAATAATCAAACATTATCCAAAAAGAGAAATACGAAGATTCACGAAATAGGAGTGGCTGTTCTTAACGTGTCTCAAATCGATGCAATTGCGGAACTTGAAATTGAGGATTCAATATATTCGCAGACATATCATGTTTTGACATTCGATGCAGAAGAACAAAATCCAAGAAAGAATTGAGGTTATAACCCAAATCTTAATTATTATAGAAACTTGGCGAGATATTGTAAGGACAGCGTATATACTCGATCAACTTGAAAGTAAACGTCCGGTTCAGGAGAAATGCCAATTAAAATTTGAAGAATCAATTAACAAGACCTTGATGATTTGGAGGAAATCTTGACTGCTTGTGACGCACAACTTGATGACGTCACAATACTACTTTACGACAAAGTGAACCTATTATGAGAGTTAATAGTGTGTCAAAATTTTTAAGTTGGTTATTAAATGAATTAAAAAAAGAAAAGAAAAGAAAAATATAAAAAAAAAATATATAAAATAAAAGAATAAAAAATAAATAAATAAAGAAATAAAGATAGATAATTATCCTAAGACAAACTTATGAACTCCCCGACTCAATGAGTCCGTTCTTGGTTTTATTTAGGAGTTATTCGTGAAAAAAAACACACCTCTTTTGAGCCACTTTGCACTGAAGTCCTTATGGATCGTTGGTGAGGTACTTGACAGTAGTTGAAAAGAGTTGCAAATTTCGTGTCTCAGGAGCAAAAACATGAGCTCCATTGAGCTAAGGCGGCGGATTTTTTTTTAGATAATATTTTTTTTAGAAAGAAAAAAAACAATATATATTTTTTTAGAGGAAAGTTAAAGGTATATATACCGCCATCAGCGTATTCTAACGAAATTTATTTTTAAAAAAAAGATTATTTTAGGTAATTATATTATGTATATATATATATATATTTCAAAAATATTTATTATACCTCTTATATTGCCAAGATAACATTTTTTTAGAGAGAGAAAAAATATTTTGTTATTGCGTACGTTAAGGGTATATATATATTTGTAAAAATTTATCGCGTACGCGAATATTGTGACGTAACCGTAACATGACTATAAAACTATAACAATACAAGATTAGAGGTCGTCTAAAGCAGGGGCAAATCACGTGACTTCGAAAAAAAATTGTTTTCATAAAATAAAACTTTTTACCATATATTCAACCATTCTAAACATATATCCTAAATGCATTTTTTCCTGCTCTGCAAGTTTACTTAGAGCGCAGAGTAGGGTTTTGAATGCTGTTTTTGATTTATTTGACTTTTTCAATTTCGTTATCCATTTTTGGATATGATCGGCAAAGTTTCGTTCATTCATATGTAAAGTCAAAAACAATATTCATAATCCACTTTTTTTCCTTATGTAAACTTGCAAAGCAGATAAAAATACGCTTATATATTATGATTTTAAAGTTTCTATTAATCTTTCTTTATAAAAAATTAATCTAATTAAAATTACACCGAATCACGTGATTTGCCCCCACCTAGATTAGATATAACGACTATGACGTCATTAGCCCTGTTCATTTCTGTTCTGTTCTGTTCCGATTTTAGTGTAATTAATTTTAGCCAATTAAAAAAAGGCATAAATTGAGTAGAAAAATCGGGTTCAATCTGTTCCGTTTATTTCTAGCCAACCATATTAAAGCATGTATTGCATTTTCAAATTTCGGAACACTCGGATCATCAATTTTTTTAATCCGTTGTTCCGGTTGTTGTTCCGATTTTTAAATGAATTTGATTGGCTAAAAACTTTGGTAAAAATCGGAACAGAACAGAACAGAACAGAAATGAACAGGGCTATTATATCCCTTATCCGTTATTTCTATAAAAAGTTAAAAACTATGTACGTAAAATGAGCCTTTCACGGATCCATTCACGGAAAATGTAAATAATTTGATAAATTCCGTGATATAAGGCTATTAATTCCGGAAATATGAGCCTTTTACGGAAAAAAGATGGAATATAAAAAACGGATCGACTTTTTTTACAGGGTATATATAC